GTCTCTCAGTGTTCAGCAGCTGATAGAAGGACAGGAGATGTTGGGTCTGGAACTGATTCTGATCGTTGTTCTTCTGTTTGAAGGTAAAGATCTGTTTTATTAGGTTTATTATTGTTGACATGAAAATGGGTTAAACGGTTATTTTAAAATGTTACATACATCAAAATGTTTTAACACTAAAGCAAACTTCATGCCACATAAATAAATGACACATTTCTAACTTAAGCTTTATGATTGTGTTCATAAAAAAATGTGGTAAAAAGTGGGTAAAAACTTAATGTGTCTTTGTCTCTGCTGCAGGAACCAGTGGAGCAACTATAGACTTTCTCTATTACGGATCAGGAGAAAATATCATTCTGCTTTGTAAAAGTCCTCCAACTTCTCGCTCATGCTCCTGGCTTTACTGGAACACACCCCCTAATCGGAATGAAGGGAAAGGTGTTCAGATATTACCTGGACCTACCAGATTTTTTGTACAGAGAAATTGCTCCCTGATCATTAAAGACCTCACTGCTGAGGATGCTGGATATTACACCTGTCGACCTGCTTCAGAATCCAAACATGATGATTGGTCTCTTCTGATCGTTCTGACCAGTGAGTATTTAAACTTGATTTGTTGCCGTCAGACTCTTTCCCTTTAATTAACATGTTTAATGCTTTAAATGTTTTTCTGTCGAACAAAGAGTGTGAACCAATGATTTTCCATCACTGAGTGAAAGCTCCAACCACACATCCATGGTTGCAGATGGCATTGGGGAGGGAGGGGGGGCATGTCTTGTCCAAATGTATAATTATTGTTGGTAAATGATAAATTTAATATAATTTCTTATATTGTTAAAACACTTTACAGTACAGTATTTTAATGTTTATCTTTTACATTTTTACTATTATTTTATTCCTATACACTTTTGTAAGTTCCACATTTGTGTGACCATTAATTTTTTCTATAATCTTTTTGTTGCTGTAAACACAGAAATTTCCCCAGTGTGGGACAATAAAGGGGATTTCTATTCTATTCTAAGCCATTATATATTGTTATAATGAGTATTGCTATTATAAGGATACAAAGTGAATCGGTAACCAAATACAGAGACTCTTTTCTATTGTTGCTCTTAAAAAGTTTCCAGCCTGTATTCTTGCATTTTCACCACTATATTTGTTCACTGCGTTCTGGATGATGAAACATAGAAAGGTCGGCGCGCTTCTAGCCCTGATGGAAAAGGAGAAATTAAATTAAGCAATGGTAATAAATCATGCAGACATCAATACATGATGCCCTACAGTTTTAGGAAGAAGTGTCGGGGCCATTGTTGAATAAAAACACTACATTAATTTCACATATATGAAATAAAAAAAATATCTTAAATACCTGATTTGGAAAAGTACGGAAGAGGATTAGGGCCAGTGGAAAAAAAAAAGTTAACTGATTTTTAAATTTTATTTCAGTTTAGTATGGGAAAAATGTCAGAATTGTGACTTTTTTCTCAGAATTCTGACTTTAATCTGAGAATTCTGATTTTAATCTCAGAAATTCTGACTGAATTCTGACAAAAAAGTCACAATTCTGAGATTAAAGTCAGAATTTTGAGATTAAAGTCAGAATTCTGAGAAAAAAAGTCAGAAACCTGAGAAAAAAGTCAGAATTCTGAGATTAAAGTCAGAATTCTGACTTTTTCTCCCATACTAAAGTGAAATACAATTTAAAACTCAGTTAACCTTTTTTTTTTTTTTTTCCACTGGCCCTAATCCTCTTCCGTAGGAAAAGGCATAAATATTCATCATAAAAATAGATCTCCCGTTTAATTAGTTTGTTTAACTTGAAGGGGAGCACTGCATTTACATAAAAAGAAGACATAATAATCCATGAGATTAAAAACAGACTGAATTTACCAATAGCTATTTTTTCATCCTTAGTCCCCTGGCTATGGTGTTAAAAAAGCAAATATTTTCTTTATGTAGAAATTCTCTCATGCTGAAAAGTATTTATTTGCAAAAACAATCTCAGGAATTTGCATATATTTTAATGCTGTTTAATGACATTGGGAGTTTAGAACATTTGGCCAAAAAAAAAATCTTCTAAACTGTTTGAAAAACTGAGTTTGATGATTTTAAATCATGAAATTCTGACAGTAAATTCCAGATTCTCTATTATTGAGCTTGTAGATTTGGAATCTATTTCTAGATTGCTTTATAAAATGCTGTGGAATGTTTTGAGTTATAGTTTGTTAGAGTGGAGGAATACGGTGTAGTGATGTGAGCAGGAGCGGCAGCTTTGTGATGCAGACAGTTATTGATAGTTCACATAACCTGGATGACTGAGAATAGGCTGCTTCATTTCATATTAATAATTTAATTATTGCAACAGAATATTAAATAGGCCAACAAAAATGCAGATTAGCAAATTGCCGTCCTCATTTCCTCGCTTAAAAAATAAACTCTGTTCAAAAGGTGTCTGAGTAGCACACAGCAAAAATCTAAAATAATTTTACAGGATTAAGGAATAGTTTAAGAAACCCCTTAAAGTTGTGTTTAGGTATCATTTTCCTTTTGTTTATTTACTCTTTTTTATTGTAAAGAGAGTAATAATTTGTAGGAGTATATATTGTTCTGAGATGGTTTTCCACTGATCTTTTATGAACTGCTTCCTTGTTAATCTTCACAATGGTAAATTAAAAAAAGATGCAGCCAGAGGGAAATGTTTTTAGAAAAAAAAATCCCTAATGTTGAAAAGTTGATTTGCAAAAGATAAACTCAGAAAACTTTCAGATTAAATGAAAAAATGTTTGACATTTAAATGTATATGTTTTGTGACTTACAAGTTTAAAATAATAAAAAAATAAATTAATAAAATAAAATGTAATTCCCAGAAAAAAGACAGTAGTTTGTGGCGATTTTAAATAAATATTTTGATAAAAATGCCAGAATTCCTTTAAGATGAGATGCGCTGCTGGTTTTCTTAAGATGAGATGCGCTGCTGGTTTTCTTAAGATGAGATGCGCTGCTGGTTTTCTTAAGATGAGATGCGCTGCTGGATCGTTTCTAAAGTGTAAGTGGCCTCCATAAGGGCTCTGTGTGCAGATTTCATTTTAACACGAACTGAGGCGCTGAGCAACTTTTAAAATGTGATAAATATTGCAGTGTGATAACAGCTGCTATACAGTCATGTTGAAGCTTCTCCCTCATAATTTCAGGTCCAAATCTTCCAATGCCCTTTGCAGGTTTGCAAAAGTTGTTCTCTATGTAGTAAAAACTGATCTACTTCTAAAGGTATATATGGATGGACCATATAGTCAAGCTTGAAAGATATTCACTTTATGTCCAGTTGCCTAGACTGAACTATTTCAAGCAAGAAGGATATTAACTATTTAGAAAAAAAATTTTTGTTTTTTTTTTTTTTTTTTAATAGAAATTTGTTTTATGAATTTTGAGAACAATAAGCT